GCAAAAAGTTTGATGATAGCTTTGATTCCTTCTGGAAGATCATTTACAAATAAAAGAAAGAGCAATGGTCCCAAAACACTGCCTTGGGGCACTCCTGAAAGTATATACTTAATCTCAGAAAATTCATCTCCTACTTTAACTTTCATAGACCTCCCTACTAAAAAGTTTTCTAAAATACCAATTATCTCCTCAGGAACACCAACATTTCTTAATTTAACTAATAAACGGTGGTGTGGTACGCTATCAAAGGCCTTAGAGAAATCAAAGTATAATATATCAGCACAGCCACCTTCAGCCAGCAAGTCATTGACAGCGTCAATAGACTCCAGTAGGTTAGATAAGCATGACCGACCCTTCATGAAGCCGTGCTGCGTGCTACTAAGCACCTGTTCAACACCGTCGAGAATATACTCCCTAAGAAGCTTCTCATAGGCTTTGCATAGTATACAAGTCAGTGACACAGGCCTGTAATTATTAGGACTATGTACTGACCCCTTTTTGTGCAAGGCCACAACAGTGGCAGTTTTCCATACCTCAGGAATATACTGCTCAGAAGCACAGGCACTAAACAGCAACACAACCGCATCCACAAAGGAACTGTTCTCACTTAAATACCTCAGGAGTCTAGGATGAACACCATCAGGACCCATAGCTTTACTAATATCTAGTGATCCCAAAATCTTGGCAACACTTTCAGGGTGCACCATAAATTTACTCCAGAAGTAATCATTATTACATTCTGTATAACAATTTTGAGGCAGAGGGCCAAAAGGTTCAGGTTTAAAAACTGACTGGAAAAAATCAGCTAACACTTCTGCCGTTTCAGAAGGAGACTTGGTCTCAGAACCATCATCTGTTTTAAGTCTTTCTACAGATTTTCTTAAAACACTTTTAGATTTAAGGTAATTAAAAAGAGGTTTACAATTTAACTTAAACAATTTAGTCACTTTATTCTCATATTTGATCTTTGCCTTAATCTCAGCGTTCTGGTACATCCGCTGCTCGTACTCGGCTGCGTTAAACATCACCATCGTAGGATCCTCGTCAAAATCCTTCCATGCCCGGTCCTTGCACTTTCTTTTCCTAACCAGACTAGAGCAATCCCAGGGTAACCTCTGTAAGATCTCCCCACCTTTAGTTGTTTTAAGGTGGGTGGTTGGAACACGATCTGAAATGACACTAAGTTTTTGGTGTAATTCTTCCCACATCTCTTCGACCTGAAGATCTTCTCTAGAGTACCCCCAGCTGATGTCTGATGACTGTGTGTTAACAAAGTCCTGATCCACCTTATACCAGCTTTTCTTCTTAGATGTAAGGAACTCGACATTGTTTTTGACTTTCAGCTCGACCAGTAGTGATACATGATCGCTTTTACCCAGAGGAGCAAGGATATCAACATTATTTACAAAACAATCATTATTGCAGAAGACCTGATCAAGCAAGGAGCATTGAGTTGTATCACCAACCTTCCTGACACGTGTCGAAGACCCAGTGACATACCACTTCAAACCTTTCCTGGTAAAGACATTCAAGAATTCTGATTCCATCAGCAACCTTCTGTCACATGAGTTTGGTGGGCGCTCGACTAAACTTTTGTCCCAGTTAACATGAGGTAGGTTCACATCGCCAACTATCACCAACTCTTCATCCGCATTAACTGGTAAACGTTCAAGAGCACCTAACAGGCCAGCATTGTCCTTCATATCAACAAGTGAAGTAGACCGATACAGACAAACAACATTGAACCTAACAGAGTCGATTACAATATTTACCGCAAGTGATTCAAGACCAGTAAACCAATCCAATCGTTCTACCCTCAGTGCTTTGTGGACAAAGATAGCAGATAGAAGAACGTAAATATTGTTTGAATAACCTTTTTACAATTATGGTCAATGGGCCATGATATCTATCAACAACAAAATTGTGTATCAGACAGTGCATGATGGGTTCCAGGTTTGTACCCGCTTGTACATTATATGCACAATTTCACATAAATATGTATCTCGACGTGAGTGGTGAAACAAATATGTGATTCCCAGATGGTTGATTTATCATATGACTTTTTCACGACATTTTTCACGACATTTTTATTTTCTTATTATTCATTATAAAGTTATTAATTGCTTCATATTGTTAATGGGTAATAATTTGGCGCGCGCTACTTCATAGCTACTAACTTCATAGGCGTGCACGACTTCGAAAAAATTTAAACAAGTAATATCCGTTAAGTTTCATGCAGCATAATTAAATTCTGCACCATACAAGAACAACAACAAAAAACAACAACAAATCAACCTTTATGTGTTTTAGCTCTAGTGCACTGAGCAGCGCCACTTGTAGCGCGATGCACTACTGGGCCGCGCCGCGCATCCAATAATGCACTTCTCGCAACCACAAATCTCGCAACCACAAATCGGCGAGATGCGAAGGATTGAAATCGTGAATCAACAGTGCCACTTATAAATGAACGACGCGACAGTTGTAAGTTAACAACTTACAAACATTTTAAAAATTACTCAGTGGCGCTCAATTTGTTCGGACTCCGGCAAAGCTTTCATTGTGTTCATAACCACTATCAGCTTGTAGGTTTATATAATAACCTACCAAGACGCGCGCAACGTTGGACTCGTCGACGGTCTTGCCTTAGAAAAAAATTGTAAAGTCTTAAGTCTAGTACAGTCGCCAGTGTACAGCGCGAGCAGTATCGAATATATTACTGGGCGGCACTCAGCCGACGCCCGACATTCTACGCCCTGAATTCCTAAATTCTATATGTTTATGAAAATTATTGACATACGTTGCATGCCATTTTTCGCGCGAATACGATACATATACGCAACATGTATCAAAAACAGTATAGCATGGGGTCCCCAGAAAACACATATTATATCGCCTAACGGACGTTACTCGTCCAATGTTTGATTCACGATTTCAATCCTTCGCAGCTCGGTGAGGCACAGTGGTGCATTTCGCCGATCTACCGATCTATCTCGTGGTTGCGAGAAGCATTATTTGATGCGCGCGCGACCCAGTAGTGCATCGCGCTACAAGTCCAATGTCTAATAATTAAATTTCTCTGAAGTAGCGCGCGACGCTTTCTTCTGTCTTCTCGAAATGTTATTGTTAATGGCCCGAGTGCTTATACGAAGTAGCGAGCACCAGGCTATAGCTAGTCCATTAACAATGGACAAATATCTGATCGCGCAAGATCATCTCTCGTTAGATCGTAGTCTATTGTTAATAGAATAGACCGACGCGCGCTTGTCATACGTTGTATGACCCGCCGCACACGAAGTGCGCGGCTCCCCTTGTATCGTCAGGGGGGGGGGGGCCAATGGCATAAAATGGCATAAAATGGAGACTTTTTCTATGGAGAAAATGGAAAAACCTATGAGTAATTCTCCATTTTCTGCCATGAATTTTGTCTTCGAAATTTCATCTTTAACACCATTTAACACCTAAATTGGACATCCTAACATGTTTATTTACGCTTACTAGGGGCGTAACAAGCTTATGAAAGCTCATAGTAGGCTACTAGATGCTTATACTAGGTTAGTAGAGGCACACTTCAGGCAAACTCATAATTACTCAAGCCTAGTGTAAAGTTATTTCTACAGGCTACAGCAGGAGTGAGTAATACTAATAGGGGAGAGTAATAGGCACTGAGAAGTGAGACCTACATCCTCGAAAGTCGAAACAAGCTCGCACTGCAAAGGGGAGGCCTGCCTTCCGAGATCGCATTACCAGGGGAAGCCTCGAGTCCAAATTTGTGTATCGAGGACCGTGCAGACTTCGATAAACCGAAAAACGGATGATGATTAATCACTCTACACTCGACTGTCACGTGACTTTTTCAACCCGTTCTCTAGCTGGCCCTGAAAGACTATTCGAAACCCTAACCCTCTAGTCTGATTCCAACCCTAACCCTAACCCAATCCATAACAAAAGCATATGCTGAAACTCTAACCCTAACGAGAAATTAGACTAACTTCCTTATATGGTCATATCACGTGATCGAGACAATTTTTCGCCAATATCAAATATCTCGTCAGGGGAGCATTTTAACCCTATGTCATGGGGGGTGATTCGGAATCAGCGTCCGAAAATACATCGATTGAAGTTGGTTTCAACTGTCGGGAGCCCTTTTAGAACAATCTCGAAGATCGACTGTAGAGTGATTTAGCACGCTCGCCGAAAAACCAAAAAAAATATCTTCGGCTAATAATGAAGAGGGTAGCATGAAACGTGGAGAAAAGTGGTTTTTAGAAAAACTTTGAAAGATTTTGACTTAGAAAATATTCTCGGCTTATAATGAACAAGGTAGCATGAAACGTGGAGAAAAGTGTTTTTCATGCTACCTTGTTCATTATAAGCCGAAAATATTTTTTTCGGTTTTTCGAAGTCCACACCTTCCCCTCGACACACAATTTTGGACTCGAGATAATGCGATCTCGGACGGCAGGCCTCCCCTTTGCAACAAGAGCTCGGAATCGGGAGCTCTCGATACGAGAGGTACGTATCGAAAATGACTCGTACCGAAAATTTTCTAATTCAACAATTTTCAAAGTTTTTCTGAAAACCACTTTTCTCGATGTTTCATGATACCCGAAAATTATTGGCCGAAAATATCTTTTTTTTAAATAATTTTTCTCGAAATTCTAAATTTTTCAGGTTTTCAATGGCATAAAATGGCATAAAATGGGGACTATTTCTATGGAGAAAATGGAAAAACCTATGAGTAATTCTCCATTTTCTCCATTTATGCCATTGGCCCACCCCCCCCTATCGTCAGGACCTAGTGAAACGACCGTGGGTGTCACAACGTGATACAACCTTCTCTTCGCAAAATCTCCGATTCACGATCGGGTGCGCGGCACCCGACTACCATGAGCCTGTTAGATGTGTAGGCTGAGATCTCAGATCCTAGGGTAAATATGTACTTATATTATTATTAGACCTAGATCTAATTAGCTAAAAGCTAAGAAATGAAAGTAAATTTTCCCAAGTTTGACATTTTATTTAATAACAAAACCAGCTGATTTATCGAAATTCTAATGCCACAACTGATATTACAAATTTTCATTTCGTAAAACTTTAATCAAACTGAAATAAAATTAAAAAGTATTGCTGCAGTATATAAATGTTCAGACAGTGAAGCAGCAATTCATCACTTAAAAATAATTTAAACAAAGAAGAAATTTAAGTCTTTTTGCTTTGACTGCCTTCATTCGATTTTGATGAGTGCAATGAATAAATATTCATTCATCTTATATTATTCTCAATCTGTTTTCGAAGCAAACTACTTTCAAAGCTTGACACTACATTTGCTCTGATTTTGTATTATAATAAGATACGTTCAATTACTTCTAAATAATTTGTGTACCAGTAACCAGATCTCTGGTAACCGTAAAGAATAATCTGTCGCATTCAAATCATATATTAAAAACAACACCCGATATTTCACTTTAATCGCGTTCTATTGTCAGTGTATTCTAGTATAAGTCGCTGAGCCTCTTCAAGCTCTTCTGTTTTTGTTTTAAGTTCCTGTTTTAGAGCCTCCTTTTCAGCTGTCAGTGCGGCAAGCTTTTCTTTGCACATCATGCTATCAAAGTTTTTGAGTTGTGATATCAGAGCACTTATCTGAGGGGATGTTGCAACTTGGTCTTCTAACTCCTCTTTGACGTTATTACTGTTGGAGCTACTTCCTTTACCAAGCCTGTTCTTCCCTTCTTGTTCCAGCTGCTTTCTTGCTTCAGGGTAATCTTCCAGCGCTTGTGTCAGAGCTTTTTTAGACAGGGACAGCAGTTCGGAGTAACCAATCGCTCTGTAAAGATTTCAGAGTCACACACGTGAAAGTTTCATATTGTGCCATGTCAACGTAAAATAGATGTAAATAAGGTTTGCCATGTTCTTGATGTCCATTTAGAGCGAATGATTTGATCGACTAACAGTAAGACTAACAGTAAGACTTACTAATAGCGAGTAGTACCCGTCGCGTCGCGGTAATATAATCAGAATATGGGTGAAAGTCTGAACAGTGTTCCAAAGAAAATGAAATCAGATTGCGATACTTACTGAAAGGAAACATTATTCTGATCATTCATACCTAACATCAGCAGTCCTGCGACTACATCCCTCCACTCCCAGCAGAGCTATCTCTCCAAAACTCTGTCCCGCTACTAACACAGCTACTGTTTTACGCTCTCCAGTACCCGTCGTAATGATACACTCCACTTTCCCGTGTGATATTATGAACATCTCCTTGCCTGGGGTTTTGTAGGGTTAAAAGGTCACGAAATTTAGATTGAAAGCGATAAGGAATAGAAAAGTGATTCAAGGTGCAAGGGCAGTATGAAAACCAAATTTAAATAAAATAGTTTAGAAATTAAGATTTTTGCTTCACATGTAGTATAGGGAATCAGTTCGATGTTAAATTTACAAAAAACTTACCAATTTCCCCGATTCTGCAGATATAGTCTCCCGGTGAGTAAATTTGTGGTTTTAGTTTTAAAACCAGCTCACACAGCAGACCATGCTCACAGTTCTCAAATATTTTAACCTGAAAGTGAAGAAATTTACTGAAATTCGCTCAACTGAGCAAAAAGTAGCTCAAGTAAGATATCCCAAATTGCTCCGAAACTTCTCGCACTAAAAGTGTTGACCCAATTCCCCGTATGTTACCTTTTTGAGCGTCTTTACATGTATCTGAATAGCTATCCTCGCTCTTAGTCGTTCTGGTAAAGCGTCCATCAGACTCTGCTCATCTGCCCCCTGAAGTCAAGATATTAGCGGACCTTTTCACCACTGACTACGGAATGATTTAGCCGACACAGTATACAAATTGTTTTGCTACACGTTGCGAATATTTTTTTAAATATTTGCCAGCTTGCGAGAAGGGAGATGCAAATTTTTCTATCAGGAGTAAAAATTCAAATTAATAATTATCATGAAATTTGTTAATCAAATAATCACTGCAGTTAAAAAACCAATATAAATTAATATAAACCCACCTGAGTTCTCATCCATGAGTATTCAAGCCATTTCTTAACCTTCCTCTGTAATATATCAGGTACACCGTGATGCTGCATGTACAACTTTATAGCGTCCGATCTGGTAACGTTGGAAATGTTTGAGGGATCTAAATAACTAAAATGTTCTACATGAGTATCAAATTTAGTTACGATACGCTATGAACAAAGTCCAGCCTCAACCTAAACTGTGATTACTCCACAAATTGAAAGAACAAACCGTTTCTGATTAGTAGTTTTACTCTCGTTCATGCTGGTAATAGCATCCCCAACATTGCCCACCACCGCAGCGAATATGAAGATACCCAACAAAAAGGTTATACAAGTCAGAATGAACTCCAGGGTGGTGTCAGGCTGGTCAGGACCTCCTATTGTTGTCAGGGTAAGGAACGCCCAGTAGAAACAGTGGATATACTTCCTGTGGGTGACAGTGTTTGTACGTTGAGTCGAGGATACAACGAGATTTAGATAGAACTTTTAAAGAGCTATGCGATTTAAATAAAACTGAAAAACGGAAGTCACACTGAACAAACCTATGCAGATTACTATTAGGATCATCTGGCTCATATTTAGGAAACACCCAACTGTTTCTCCCGAACCCCTCGTACTCAGACACACAATAGTAGATACAAGCTACCCAGTGTATCGAGAGGAGAAGATACATTATCAGACAGAACGCTCTCATCACACCTGGGCTGTTTGTTCTGCTCCCAAAACTCTCGAAAAACCTGCCGCGGAGAAGGGGTTATTGGATTGTGAATTGAGGTTTATTGTCAAAGTATGAAATGAAATGAATGGAAACTAATTTATAGAGGAATACGGTACACAGAATAATAAACCTGTTTAGTGTTTACCTCCGCATGGAGTAGAATTTAGCGAGTTTGAATAACCGGAGTGTCGCCTCCCCAATTAGAATGTTCTTTATCATAGAAGCTTCCACATCAGGTCCTGTGAAGATTACAGTAGTGAAACAGTTAATAGGATTTATCACAAGACTTTGTCATTGATATCACGAATCATTCTGAACTTATGTTACGTTTTACATCGAAAACAAGAATGCCTAGGCGGCTAGGATGCCTATAAAGGATGGAAAATAGTCAACATTAACTAACTGCTGGTAAATAAGTATGAAGAATGCTGATATATCTCCATGGCAACACCATAAGAGATACAAAGTGGTAAAACAGCAGCTAAGTCCCATGAGAAATCTTGTGATGACATATAGTTTTCTTTTATCTTCTGTACGTCCGTTACCTGACAAGAGAAGGATTCTAAATTCAGGGCTGTGTGGTTATTGTATTATATAGCGACTGTTGTAGGAATAAAATAACCCAGCTGACTGCTGAGCTTCTGTTCTAGAACCTTTAGTGTTATGTTTATCATATGGAAAATAACTGCTAAATATCGGAGGTATTTACTGGTTACAATGAAATTAGGATTTAAAGGAACGAACCAGTATGCCATCATCCAAGTATCCCCTTCGAAACTTAACAGCAAAGTCAGATAAATAGATGATATCACAGATGGAGTCGAGGGTGAAGATGACGAATTGATTTTGCTCCTCAAATTCTCTAAAAGTCAGGCGGAGGACAGAAGAGACAAGATTGTATAGCATTGCTATTGTCACCAGCGCCTGAGAAGAAAATAAAGTTTAGAGAGTTGAAAAGGCTTTGATACGGTGGATTATGACAGTTAATCATATGATGTTTTGAGATCTTTTCTCAACCAGTACTCCCCACCTACCTGAGTAAAGAAGTAGAGATCCCCGGCAGGGTCAACTACAAAAGCTCCCTGTATTCCCTACCTACCTGAGTAAAGAAGTAGAGATCCCCGGCTGGGTCAACTACAAAAGCTCCCTGTATTCCCCACCTACCTGAGTAAAGAAGTAGAGATCCCCGGCAGGGTCAACTACAAAAGCTCCCTGTATTCCCCAGTCCCCTCCTACCTGAGTAAAGAAGTAGAGATCCCCGGCAGGGTCAACTACAAAAGCTCCCTGTATTCCCCAGTCCCCACCTACCTGAGTTAAGAAGTAGAGATCACCGGCTGGGTCAACTACAAAAGCTCCCTGCTCCCCACCTACCTGAGTAAAGAAGTAGAGATCCCCGGCAGGGTCAACTACAAAAGCTCCCTGTATTCCCCACCTACCTGAGTAAAGAAGTAGAGATCCCCGGCTGGGTCAACTACAAAAGCTCCCTGTATTCCCCACCTACCTGAGTAAAGAAGTAGAGATCCCCGGCTGGGTCAACTACAAAAGCTCCCTGCTCCCCACCTACCTGAGTAAAGAAGTAGAGATCCCCGGCTGGGTCAACTACAAAAGCTCCCTGTATTTCCCACCTACCTGAGTAAAGAAGTAGAGATCCCCGGCTGGGTCAACTACAAAAGCTCCCTGCTCCCCACCTAACTGAGTAAAGAAGTAGAGATCCCCGGCTGGGTCAACTACAAAAGCTCCCTGCTCCCCACCTACCTGAGTAAAGAAGTAGAGATCCCCGGCAGGGTCAACTACAAAAGCTCCCTGTATTCCCCACCTACCTGAGTAAAGAAGTAGAGATCCCCGGCTGGGTCAACTACAAAAGCTCCCTGTATTCCCCACCTAACTGAGTAAAGAAGTAGAGATCCCCGGCAGGGTCAACTACAAAAGCTCCCTGTATTCCCCACCAACCTGAGTAAAGAAGTAGAGATCCCCGGCAGGGTCAACTACAAAAGCTCCCTGTATTCCCCACCTACCTGAGTAAAGAAGTAGAGATCCCCGGCTGGGTCAACTACAAAAGCTCCCTGTATTCCCCACCTACCTGAGTAAAGAAGTAGAGATCCCCGGCAGGGTCAACTACAAAAGCTCCCTGTATTCCCCACCAACCTGAGTAAAGAAGTAGAGATCCCCGGCAGGGTCAACTACAAACGCTCCCTGTATTCCCCACCTACCTGAGTAAAGAAGTAGAGATCCCCGGCTGGGTCAACTACAAAAGCTCCCTGTATTCCCCACATACCTGAGTAAAGAAGTAGAGATCCCCGGCTGGGTCAACTACAAAAGCTCCCTGTATTCCCCACCTACCTGAGTAAAGAAGTAGAGATCCCCGGCTGGGTCAACTACAAAAGCTCCCTGTATTCCCCACCTACCTGAGTAAAGAAGTAGAGATCCCCGGCTGGGTCAACTACAAAAGCTCCCTGTATTCCCCACCTACCTGATTAAAGAAGTAGAGATCCCCGGCTGGGTCAACTACAAAAGCTCCCTGTATTCCCCACTTACCTGAGTAAAGAAGTAGAGATCCCCGGCAGGGTCAACTACAAAAGCTCCCTGTATTTCCCACCTACCTGAGTAAAGAAGTAGAGATCCCCGGCTGGGTCAACTACAAAAGCTCCCTGTATTCCCCACCTACCTGAGTAAAGAAGTAGAGATCCCCGGCTGGGTCAACTACAAAAGCTCCCTGTATTCCCCACCTACCTGATTAAAGAAGTAGAGATCCCCGGCTGGGTCAACTACAAAAGCTCCCTGTATTCCCCACCTACCTGAGTAAAGAAGTAGAGATCCCCGGCTGGGTCAACTACAAAAGCTCCCTGTATTCCCCACCTACCTGAGTAAAGAAGTAGAGATCCCCGGCTGGGTCAACTACAAAAGCTCCCTGCTCCTCTCCAGTGCCCCCAGGTTTATTACTCCCCACATACACCTTCTTTTTAGTCCTGTCGTTAAAGTGCTGCAATATAAACGGGTCCTCATCTTCAGGAATGTGATCTTTCGCTAGAGCGTTACTGAAATAATATCTAGATCAGTTATAGTGAGGATATCTGCGGACGAGATTTAAAGTGATAGGTATTTGACTAGAATATTATAGTGTTGCCAGATAGAATAGGTCCATCGGTAACCATGCTTCTAAGATAGTAAGATACATGTCTGCAGACAAACAATAAACATGGGTTCCCAGGGGTCATTGCAACAATACTAGAACTCTAGAAGTTTAGTTAATTGTTACTTCGCTGCTACAGGATCGAAATCCACGTAAAGTAAAGCATGTATTACAATAAATTGTGTTAAAATATCATAAGATTTAGTATTAGTATTTTGTTTGAATGGCAATTTCAATATTTCAACAAAAGAAATTGATAGTGAAAGGTGAATGTTAAAATACAAGAATCGCTCACGTTTTCATATTCAATACAAGTCTAACACGAATGAAGTTAACTGTGAGGCAAAACCAGACAAAGAAACGCTCGCGCTCGCGCTCACGTGTTACAAAATCTAGGCCACAATAAACTTACTCAATCACCGTTAACCTTGTCAAACTTAAACAAAGCCGAGAATCAATCTTCACTACAAAACAAAGAAAACTGATCCAGTAGATCTAGTAGAGCCACGAGCTCCACTACGAGATGGTAATATTAACAGATAGGGACATATTCATGAGACCTAATTTGAATCCACCACCGGGAGCTGACGCTAAGTAGTAAGCAAGCTAGAGTATCTGAGTATTGTTCTCCTGGCCATGTTATAGGTCAATCATGTGTACAAACCAGTTACTATTCTTAACGTAACCCTGTCAAATTACAACTACCATTGATGTGGACTGCCGGGATAAACAAAGAGGTTTCAGTGCCTCTAAGACTCGAGGTAAATGTAATATCGGCGTCAAGGCCAAGGCCGAAAAGAACAAGTCTAAGCATTGAAGAACCAGTGCTTATGTTTGAAACATTTGTTATATTGGCCAATCTACTTATACAATATTTGTAGACCAATGTTCTGTGGAACTGATTAGAACAGTGAGTGGCTGAATATCAAATCAGATCAGACTCAAGACAAAATTCTGAGGGACAGGGAGTATCTTGGGTAACAGGTGTTGCTTTGAAGGTTTTATTAATGTTAGATCAGCAGAATCTTTTAAACGCCAGGTATTTTTTACTACCTGCACTGATCGTATATCAACTTCATAGCCGTGTTAGACATTTGTTTCCTCAGACTCCCAACGTTTCTCCTAAAAACTGTTTCTCCTCCGGACATAACGAAAAATACCAGACAAGAAGTCTCCACGGTGGAACTTATAGCACGGTATAATCAATAGTGTTATCTGGAAATGATGAAATACTCCTGCAGCACCTGGTGCACGTGGTCTTTACACCAGTTCACAAAGGACTGTGTTTATAAAGGAGTTGCTCGATAGTCGATACTCTATAACAATCAGGAGATAAACCCTGGCGAACAAATGGGAGATGACCTTTAAACAAAGACTGGTGCTCTGCGGTATCACCACGTCTTACTGGGTCATTATCACTAATTTCACGGTTGGTGACCGCAAGTAAAACGGGTACATTATCTAAAGGTGGCAGGCTAACGACCGTTAATGGTGCGACCTGTCTGTGGAAATGGAGGGATGTTGTTACTATTAGTGCACTAGACACATTTGTGTTTGCATGAAACATTTTAGGATGAGCATTAGTAGAATAAGAAACTGTTGCCGAGAATATTGAATTGATATAATTGTGAAGGTAGATGCAAAGGAGTTTCGGCAATTGATGCTATGCAAGAGTTAAAAAGTCGAAAAAAAAAACAAAGTATACGATGAAAAGATGTTGAAAGATCTCAAACCGATCAATTGTGCAACCAAGAAATCCATGAATTGCATAACACCTAGTAGATACGCACATAACACCTATAGATACGCACAACATGTATAATGCTCTCAACATTTAAATACTTAAATACTGAAGAACACAAAGATCAGAATTTTGCTTCTAGCTATTTACTGCTCTTAAAAATAAAGATTGTCTCAGTATTCAATGCAGTAATATTGACTGCAATTGTTACCGTATTTAAAGCTAAATCAGCTATTAAAAGATTTTAAAATAATATCATACATTACCCTCTGCACGTACATGTATTTGATAGAATCCTTCTTAAGTTTTATCATAGCCTTCTTCAACATCGCCAATTTTCCCGCTTCTTGAAACTTTAGTGACGTTTTCACGGCCATTCCCGTCCTGCGCCACTTTCTCATCGTCTCAATGTTACCACTAGAATTGGGCCGAGGTGGACTGGCAGTCTTATCAGTAGAGTTATCTCGAGATAAGGTTTTGTCAGTTGAGCTGGTTCGTTCAGATAAAGGAGGGGGCTTATCTGATACAACCTGGGATTTATCTGATGTACCTTGAGTTTTATCCACCGGTTTTGAAGATTTATCAGCTGAAATTTCTTCAAAAACGGGCGTGTCGTCAGATGGTTTTTCTTGAGAGGACGGTAACTGTTCTTTTGAGATTTGTTGCGGTGAGTTGGACAATGATTCCTCGACAATATTTTCACTTGATGCACAAGTTAGGTCCTTAGTAGGTAAGTTTCGTGTAGTGCACTCTGGTGACTCACCACTGTCATTAGTTGACTCAATTTTATGAGGTGAGTTCAGTCCATTTGAAACAGACTCCTCTGCAACTGATACACTCTTAACTGACTTGGGTTTAGGTTCGTTGTTACCACTCAAATTGGAACCCTCAGTAATACCACTGCCAGGCTCCGCTTGCTGATTGTTTGAATCTTGCGACTGCAGTGAAGCACTATCCTGAGCTTCATCAAGTTCAACCTCACCAAGTGTTCTGGGACTGATGAAATCTTCTCCAGGGATATTTGTCACAGTGGTTACACCGTCCACAAGTTTCCTCTCCGATAATTCGCCATCTTCTTGAACTTTGGGAAAACCGCTTATTTCCTTAGTATTTGAGCTCTTAGTCCTCTTCAGAATTCCTCTCATAGGTGTTCTGTTTATCCCACTTTTTGAAGTCCCCTCCTCCATAGATTTAGTATCTTTCCCTCCGCAAACAGTCACATTGCCATAAACGTCCCTCACATATTCGACTAAATTCTCATTTGGAACTAAATGTTCTGGCTGAGAATCCTCTGGGCTATTTCTACTTGGTTCGGTGCCATTCTGAGTCATACCATAGTGACAAAATCACCCTTCTTTTGCTGTACTGAATAAACAACTCGATTATAAAATAAAAATCAGTTTATCGAAATATATAAGGACCGAATCATTAACTTGCCGGTTGTCATATTTGTTAGGTACAGTTGACTCCCAATGTGCCTCGTTGAATTGAAAACAGCAGTTCACTATCTTAAAGTTAAACAATTAAATTTTAGGCATATAGACATATCTTTATTAATGATTCTGGATAAATCCAAACAACAGTAACCAGCGAGCAGTTCAAATGATATAAGCAGTTTAATGATATGAATATTGAATATGTTATTCAGAACTGCTTAATAACGAATACTGGGACGATCTCAAACAAAGATTTGCTGAAACTCATAATTGAGCAGATACAAAGCGCTCCAGTACTCAGTAGCGACTCCTGCTTGATAAAGAAGATCGGAACACAGCGCTCAGGAGATCTCTATTCGCTATCAGGAGATCACAGCTAGAGGAAGCAGAGCGGGAAGATATTAGGCGTACTATACCTACATTGTGCTATGAGGATGAGGTACTGCTGGAAGTGGGTTATATCGTGTATAATGTATAATGTATCAAAATCCGCTGTGATGTTACGAGAGCAGATTCGAATATAAATACTATGTGAATATTATTCTGCCACTCAAGTACTGAGAAGCTGATACAGTAATTTTAGATCATATTGATGGGATCAGTCGAGCTATCAGACTTGAAGAGGTCAGTCATGGTCGTTAGTCCTTAGAGTCCCGATCTACCTGGTTGACTGAAATCTGCGGCAAGACACTATATAGTACATATAAAAACGAGCAAGGTAAAATACAAATATTGAATGGAAATACGGTAAATCAAAATGACGTTGGCGAGCATGAATGCTATTGTTAAAGAACAATTTACAATGATCATTAACAATTTAATCATAGTTGAAATGTTATAGAAATACGACTGATAGGCTAGAACAAGCGTTTCCGGGGCGCTGTAAAATGGATCGTTTTCAATTTGTGATGATGATAGGTTTGTAGTGAGGAGTAATTAGGTGTTAATTACTGGTTAATCAACTTCACAGAATATTGGGGTTTACGAAAAGAAAATGTGAGCTTTGTATATGAGTTATAGAACAGATAAATAATGTACCAATAAAATCTGCAGAGCTGCACCTGCTGTACAGCTGTGCAAAAGATCTGTCGTTCGAAAGGACCACAAAACCGCTAAAACGCTAATGGGAGAAGATTTACTTTCATATTACGGCCTATTTAGCTACTTAGGTTTCATAAAAGTAATACCATGCTACTTTTGTTTTGTTACCGCTTATAATCTTCAGTAAGTAGCACAAAAGTTTATTTGTACACGCCTTTAGTCTGTATCGGTTAAAATTGAAACTTTAAGTTCGTAGTCTTAGTATTTAATTTCATTTGTATTAATATTATACTATTATATTAAGTATCTATTAATAGAAAATTTCAGAAATATACAATTACATATCGCTCCTATTCTGTATTCGTATAGTCAGGCACATTGCATTATACAGTTCCAAGGTACTGGAACTTAATATCGTACTTAATATTATACTATTCAGAGAATTGATCAGATGGTTCCGAAATTTCTAGGAAAATATAAAAGTATGAAACGACCGAATGCAGACAATTTCTAGAGAACTACTCTAATGAAATTACTATAAGCAATTTAAAAATGAATAATTATGGAACAGTTTTTTTGTCTCATGCATCATTCACAAAATAGAGTATTCGTTGTGACTGTGTAGAAAATTAAAACCGCAGCATTCAATTTTAATTAAGATTTCCACACAAATCACGCAACATTAAAAACATACCTATTTTCGATTTTTGTGTAGATAGCCTGTCTTACGGAGTCCCAATTACCCGACATCACATTTCAGATCCAAAGCAAGCGACTGGTCACACTGAAATCCAACAAGCAAAATTTCCTGGGCTACCTACTCAAGACTATGAAACGGAAGATTTAAAAGTTTGTCAGGAACAACAGACCACTTAACCGTATCGAATAACGGCTGACACCGAAATATTTCAGACAGTCGCCAAACCACACACGCACAGCCCACAGTCGCGTCGAATTTATTTAAAAGTAGGTACTCTAAAAACAAGTACGAGGCTAGGTTTCCTAAAGACGCGCAGTGCCCAGCTGATGTGATAGGTTTTTATTATGTACTTGTAGCTAGGTAGGGACTAGAGTTACTCTATAAGTGCATATTTGACATAGTAGACTATATAGAGTCCTCTATAGGCGTAAGGGGTTAGAGTTACATATAGAGTCAGCAGAAAGGTTGATCAGATTAACACCCGTTGTGCAAGAATGTTAGTGAGAGAGTTGAAAATGGTGACAAAGGCTAGTGAGCTGGGAGTGTGTGAATGATGTAACCAACTCAACTATTTACAACTCAACTATTTACAGCTGACGGGAATTCAATTTTAAAATATTTCCGTCGACCGCATTAAAAACCGGGACCATGGGAATACTAAAATAGGAAATATATTCGGCTGATGACTGTTAACAACCAGTAAACAAAAGGATAACATAACGAGACAGGCCATTAAATAGGCCGGGTCCTTAGCCTCCAACCCTGGCGAGGACAGTGAACATAGCTCACACTAAACTAACCTCATCGTAATAGCCTACAGCAATATGATAGTGGTGGAAATAGCTCCCACTTTCACTATTCCATGTTGTTAATTTTACCGGCTGGATTTTATTCGACAACACCAGATCCAACCGAACAATTAGTTTAATCGATTAGATATTATCTTTACAATTTTGACGGTTTCGATCTTACATAAAATGACAAATTACCTAATAGTAATACCTAAATTTAAGACTAAGAGGTGATTGTCTAAGTGCACCGAGGTCGACAGCGAGCGATTAAAGACCACAACCAAATTATGAGTAAATATTATAGTATATATTGTAGTCAATTTCTGTGTACCATTATGTCTGTAGGCAGGTTAAGTCAGTAGTCGATGTACTCATGTCACGTCTGTTAAGGTGAGGTAGACATTTCAACGGAGATCTAGCCTCAACTGAGTGAACATTGGACCAGAAATATCCGATCATATCTACTGAGAGAGATAACTACCGTTAAATATTCTTATTGTGAGATAAAAGACAAAGATTTTGTCGTAAATAATCGCTCGGTCTCCAATAAATCAACGATAGCTGATGATCAATCATTCATTAATATTGATGAATTATTTATTATTTTACGGAACTGAATGGTGAATAATCAACGACTTAAACAAGACAAATACTGATCGGTGGAGAATGGTTAATAATTCATAAGAACATTTCCATCAGCCACTGTCGGACACTAAGCCGAAGTCTTTATTTTAAAATGTCAGTCTGTACCACTTACCGGTAGAACGGCTGAATGGAAATAATTTACTTCTCATTAACATAACTGAGGTGAAGACTATAAAGGGAACAAGATTATTTGGGGGGGGGGGGGGGGGGGGGGCCAACCATATTAAAGTATATTAAAATGTAGGATTTTTCCCGATTTTGACCCGGGGATATACTTTAATATACTTTAATATACCTACAATATACTTTAATATCCCTATCTCCTTGGAGGCCTACTTCAAAAATTGTTGCCCAAAATAAGCTTGAAATGCAATTCTTAATCTATTCCAAAAAGTTCTTGAAAAAATATTGAAAACTGATGGAGTTATTTCAATTTTAATGAAGTCATTTTGGCTAGTATTCCGAACCGAGATATTATGTGCAATTTTCCCAATTTTGTTCATGGAGGTCTTTTTACTTAGTATCCACTATATTCAACAAACACTGAGTTATATCTTTCACATAGAGTTAGTCTCATTAAAAAATATTGAAATTTTATCGAATTTGGTCAAAAGCGAATTTGGGCAAAAGCGTATGCCCAAATATGGGCATACTTTTTAAAGCTCATAGCTCAGCCAATTTTTGACCAATCTGGATGGAAATTCATGTACTAGTCCTAAAACAGGCTTATCTTGCGAATCTGAGTGAAAAATATAGTTCATCATGTAAATCTTAACGAAGAATATAAATCTTCTAATTGTAGGTATATTAAAGTATATTAAAATGTAGGATTTTTTCCGATTTTGACCCGGGGATATACTTTAATATACTTTAATATGGTTGGCCCCCCCCCCCCCCCCCCCCCCCCTTATTTGCATGAACGAGAACTAATATTTGCCTATACTAAGCCTACAAGTACGAAGAAGACTACCGCGTGATTAAGCTCTCCACCGGCGACCAGCCGCAAAAGACCAACCCTCAAAGAGGTCCACAAGTTAATTTGTGCCCGCATGTTCAGGGAGAAGATACTTTGAGGTTTGATGGACACCAATTAGCATTTAGCACAAACCACCCATGCTCCTATCAAAAGTGAGCGTCAAAGTACTAAGAAGTCTAAAATTAGATCAGAGAAACTATAATTAAAACAATGTCAATTATCGAGAAATCCTCCTCTCACTCGTTAGATATACACGAAGACGTAACAAGACGGCCACACTGGTTCGTTACTAGTCACCGCTCACCACTGGTTCGTTACTAGTCGCCAGGTCCGTGATGAGGTCTAAACAAGGACTCAGCACTATATTTACTAGTGTGGGGCGGCAGCACTATATTTACTTCAGGTATTTAGTGAGTGTTTTATCAGGTACACTATGGGCTGGATTGTTGTGAAATATGAGAATACGAGTAATACCTGTGTTGATTTAGTCCTGACTAACGGTTTTATACAATATACACCATGAGCCTGGAGAGTCGCTACTAAATCAAAACAAAATTAACAAAGAGTGTTCAATAAACGGCACAAAATTAATAAATTAGCACCCTAGTAATATACACCCTCATTTGATGATATTATGTAAAAAGTTATATTTAGAATGGGGAGTAAATAACATAATATTATAAGTTTCACAAAGTTATAGAAGATATATTATATATTATAATAGGTTAAATAAAGGGCGCGTACTCGTGACTATCAGACTATTAAATAGAGACTTACACGAAGGA